TCCAAACGAGCTGTTAAGAAATGAGGAGCAGCTCAATTTCTATCACTTGAGGTTGATACTCTAGGGATAATTTTTGAGGTAATCTTTCGAACTATCACACATTCCTTTAATCCCATTTGAACTATCAACTCTTAGCATGTGAGATTTGTATAACTTTTCTTATTTCTCAGGCTCCTTAACTAGTGACAATATGTTGGTGTAGCTTGAGGATGATGGAGACAATCTCGTGGATTAACATGAAGTTGTAATCGAAGCATCGCAAATACTGTCATAGAGTGAATGTTGTCATGGATCACGACATGGGATATAGCATGACTCCTTGGATTTGAAACAACAACAATCATGCGTAAGTACATGAATACGTCTATTCATCCCGACAACTTACTTGAATCCGGCTCTGAGTTGTGTGTTTTTGTATTGGGTTTTGCAGGTACTTATCTTATCTGATGCAGGGTGGAACAAATGTAACACCTTCACGACTTTGTACAATCCAAAGTGTAACAAATGATGTCACGGGGTAGCGAGAAGAATACAACACCCTTTCCTTGCGATTCTGGCTATACCTGGTTCACGTATGATTCGATGCGCGTCTTTGTTGTGCGAAACTGCAGAGATGTTAACATTCTTTGTCATGCTCACTATGCAAGTTGTGCGGTTTTGAGGTATTCGGATGATGAGGCCTGAACGAAGAGCTTGTGGAGTTTAAGCATACTCATTCATGGCTCGGTTTGGAAGTTGATTGGTGAGAGGTCTCGAAATATCTTCTGTGACAGAAACCACAACTATTTCACGAGTCGCTTGCTGATTCACCAGAGGATTTACCAGCTTAAGAGAAGCAAGTAACTGCGGTTTGAGAAACCAATTTAGGATGCTCAACAATGATTAGTTTTGAGGTGAAGGTTCCAATCTTGTGTCATGTTATACATCAAGCGGTGTTGGTTGTAATTGTGTTATACTAACCCTGTTGTTATGGTTTGTGCAGGTCTAGCCTTCTTGTGAGCTAAAGCTGGTATTTTCTTGTAACTCAGTTGTTTCATTTATTCTTGATCATTAGTCCCTAGTTCTAACTCAGCAACTTGTAACTTGGTCTTTGTTTATCAGCTTCACGTGTCCCTTTTTTAGATTCACAACCATCGGCAGCAACTTGGAAACCAGGATAGCACAGAATCTGCATCGCAATGATGAACTTTCTAGGCCAAAGCCTTTTGCTATAGCATCACCATTGGACTTTTGTTCTGTGATAGCGCATGTATTCCGTTTGCTATATTTATCGAAAAGAACACGTATTCTATTTCGACCCTGGCTTGAATTTGACCAAATTATTGTGTGTCTAGGTATGAGTTTGATGAACACAGTTTGAGAAGCAGTTCTCAAACGAAGGACACAGTTTTTTTTGTGAGAATGAAACTGGGTTCTTAACTTCTTGGAGGTGATTACTACTTTTGAGGCTTGGCCAAGTATCAACGCTGTTATATTCAGTCGGAAATGGAGTGTAGAAATTCTTTTCGGTAATTCTGCTCAATTGATTATGAGTTTTTCATTGAACTTTGTATGTACTACTCATATTTCTTGCATTTTGGTCTCAGGCATGACGGGTGAAGGTTGAAAAGATTTTACGTGAAGCTCGTGTTGATGAAGAGCTCAACAATGGCGGTCTAGACTGGTTATGAACTAGCATGAGACTTGGTGTAATGCTGCATTGGAGAATCTTGATGATGTTTGATGGAGAGGGGACTGCAATATGGAGTCAGCTTGGCACAAGTAAATGAATCATGGCATTTCTCCTGTAATTGATTTCAACTCCTTGTTCTGATGCGGTTTAACTTTAAAACTTGTTACAACTCATATTCTTGTTATGTATCAACAGTCTTTAGCTTATTGCCTTATCTTAATGCTTGCAGTGATCTTGTTGTTTTTGAAGGCGGGCGCTGTTGGTTGAAGGACGAGGTCGTCGTCGGTTGAACCCAACTAAAGTTGCAGATGAGATGTTTGAATAGGTTGGAAGCATTGATCCGGTTGTGAATGGTTTGGATATTTCTTGGTAAGACTATTACCTCTAAGACTCTGCATTATCATTGCTACTTTCTTGTTGTTAATGGAAAAACATAGCTTTTGTTGGGTGGACCTCTTTTTGGTTGTTTGAAGCGAGATGTGACACCTTAGATTTACATTGGCAAAAGAACCATTTGCTTGTTTTTTTTGGATCAATCTGTTTTTGATCTCATGCAGTTGTTTCTCATTTCAGATATCATCCTTGGAGTATTGGGAACAAAGTGCCTGAATCACATAATGCAGGTGAGGTTGGGCATGATTGTTCCTGGCTTTACATCCATCACTTCTCAAGTGCATATCAGGTGTTCTTCTCTAAGAACGACCAACCGATTCAAGCTTTTGATCCAACCTCATCCTTTGATCATCTAGAGAAATCACTCAAGAATGCAAGTCGGTCAGTATCTGCATTCGGTAAGGCTCTCAGGAGTCTCCAGCATCATATCCTTCTATATTCTTCCAGCATCACCAATTTCTGAATTCCTTGATTTCTCAGGTGCAAGGGTAACGAGGTGAGATATACGCAGGAGGTTTTGGGGTGAACTGTCTTGACATGTAGCTTGAAAAACACGGCACGACGTTCATGAAATACACGGAAGTAAGCTTGAAGACTTTCTGAGTTTAAGTCCAAGCTCTGTAGTATGTATTCTTGAATGTCACTTAGCATCTGGTTTAGATTATTTCACTAATCCTAATGTTGTTTTTGTGTCAACCAACTTGGCTTATAGCTGCAATTTTGGTGCTTGCTGTTATCTCGTCGTCTTCGCATCGTGAACTGATTGTAACTTGTTTTGTTGAACGCAAGGTACATACAGTTGCTGTCAATTGGAGGATGAACCTGTCGCCGGTTGATCGAAGAAGATGTTGAAGAATTGGTATAACTTTGAGACGGTCTTGGTACAGTGCGGAAGAAAAAAAAATGGTTGAAGACTGATGAAGCTCTTTGGAAACTGATTGCAGGTGACAAATGCACACTGAGTAGGATTGTAGCAGAACTTTGCATAAAGAATTGTGACGGGCTGTAGTTTGTAGTTTAGGAAAATTCATTGAATTCCATCCGACTGTATTTTTCATCTCCATGGTTTTGTAAACAGGGATCACACGCATCATGTTCTTCCATATCTTGTATCAAATACTTAGAGTATATTTAGTAAAATATGTTTGCACTCAAATGTACTGAGTCCATCTTGTAATAATCCCAACACGGCTTTGAAATCCGGAAAAGGCTCAAACAACATAACTTGCCTGGTTCTCACGTTGACTTGATGTATGGATTGAAAGTATCTTAATACCCTCAAAACTTAATGAGGAAATAACCAAATAATTCAACAAACTTTTAAGTAACTTGAATCATTGCTTGTGAAACTGGATTCATGGCGTGAAAACAAATTGAAACATCCTGGTATGAGTTGACTTTGAAACAACTTTTAAAGCAAGTTCCACACGGTTGGTAAGGACCAATGATCATATCCTCTATAATTGACTCAAATTTTGATTTTTACTCTTTTATCTTGATAGTTTATACCATCTTAATGCACTCATGCTTTACTCTAATAATTTCCCTTATATTTTAAAGTAATTCACATTATGTCTAAACATGCAACGAGTCCAGTCTTGGAATTAAAATATGACCAAATCTTCTTAGCATCACGTTGGAGTGCAATTTGAACCCATCTTGATATATGACTTAAAATTAATAAAACCAATCAATTAGACCTTAAAAAATAAACCAGTCATATAACTTGAAACGTCAATCTTGTTTTGAGATTTGATCATGGGAAAGATGAAACATTTTTCCTTCTTGACACCTCCATTTTGGCAAGAACTTATAATTACCATGAGCATAAACGAGGCCTTCATAATCCAAATCTTAAAAAAACAATATCAGAAGCCCAAATGACTATCTAGAGTATTCATGAATTGACACAAATACTTAGTGAAAGAGAATGAGAGGGTAGGACAAATTTGGGGTATGACACCACATACCTCTCTCGAGTGAAAAAGAAATCAACTTCTTTCTCAACTATGTCATGGGGTAGGAGAATTACATCTCAATTAAGGATGACTAGTGTTTAATCTCTCATGGGATAAAGGGAACCTAATTGTAGGTTTTCTAAAGTTAAAAACAATCCTAAGAGGATTAGCCCAAGGATACAGACTAAGTGTTAGTATAAAGGAAAAAAATCTAAGTATATACAACCTAAGGAAGTCATCCTAAGAGAGAACAAGGATCACACAAAAGGGTGAAAGATGCAAAAGAGAAATGCAATGCACATGACTTATAAAGTCAACCCCAAGTCCTTCCCTTGGATTTAAACGTAGGCAATCGTAAAGATTTAAAAGCCAAAAATGAGCATCAGATAAGATAGGCATCATAGCAATGATCTACAATGAGTCAACGACATGGCCACAAATCATCAAAATTAAGATCATGAACAAATAACTGCATGTGTACCAAACAAGAATTAAGGTATGTAATCAGCCCACAAAGCAAGACATCAAGAATAAACATCGTCAATTAATCAAAACAAAGTATCAAGATTTAATCGAGAAAAATCAGACGAAAAGCACGAAAGCAAGCAATCGCAAAAAATAAAACCGGACAACAAAAGAATTATTAATTAATTTAAATATAAGTATTCAATAAGGTTAACTAATAGTTTAACTAATCCATATTAAATAAAAATATTTAAATTAATTAATAATTAGAAACATATTTTTACATTTTTCAAATATTTAATAAATAATTAAATTAGAAAATAAAAAAAACTAAAAAACTAAATCTAAAATAAAATAAAATAAAATAATAAAATAAAATAAATTTTTTTGATCTTTTTCTCTAAAACATATGATATAAACAATAAGATAAAAAAAATTAAAGGAATAAATAATAATAAAAGGAAGGTTACAAAAAGTGAGAAAAGTCAAGTTTCTTCATCTTCTCATTCATTTCATGATTCTCCATTCTGAACCTTTGTGTCATTCAGCAAACCGTTTAGTCGAAACATGCATTCAATTGCGCGAATCAACTCTTGATAGTTCTTGAATGTAGTAACATCGATCGACCTTCCAACCGAACCTGCTTTTTGAACATTTGTGTAGGTTCGGATCGGTGCAGCTACTTGCTTCCATGAGTTATTGTTCTGCAGAAAGCTACTCTCATCAAAATCAACGTGACTTGAAGAGGAAACCGCCTGAGTTATCTCGCAGAGAAAAGCGTCCAACTTGGCTAGGTTTGCGGATGTTATCTGAGATTGGCCATCTTGGCTAGAACTTAAGTTTCCGACCATGCAATCTTGAGAATGTTGAAAATCTTTATCCCTCATTGTGCGAAAATCGTCGAAAGTTGTGTTTGAAGTGGAAGAAGGATCGACCATTGTGGTATGAATGCCTCCGGTTACGGCTATCATAGGAACAACAGCAAGAGTAACCAAAGCCAATTTCCAAACAGCGGTGAATCCAACAAGAATACCAGAAACAAAAGTTGCCATGTAGTGAATGAAATTTCCCAACTTCTCACTAATGGCATCCTGGACCATGACAACGTCCGTATTGATTGCGAAAACAACTTCTGAAGTTCGAACCTCAGTGTCGAAGAATTGGATGTCTTGTTTCAACGCAGCTTTGAGATACTGGATCTTCATCTTAGTGGATTGTCGCTCTCCGGTGAATGTTGTCGTCATTAGTTTCGGTAATAAAGCACGACAATGGTGGTTTGTTTTAGAACGATACTAAATGCAGTAGAATTATGTTAAAAAAAACCTCTGATATGGTCGTGAAGATCTTGTATTCAGTAGCATAATGATAATCTTCTGACCCGACTGAAACTTCAGAGAACAGCAAGAGATAATCCACATGATCCCAGCGGCAGGTAGAGATGTTCATTGCACAAGGGACATGATAAGTTCTTTTACATGATTTGACAAAGCAACCAAGAGCAGCTCCCTTTAGACCACATTGGGTGCATTTAAGCTTTGCTCCCCATGCCACTTCTTTCTTCAAATTCTTAATAGTTTCACCAATAAAGTATACTTGTGGAGACACGCACAACATTTGGTTGCATTGCAGCATCTCCTGTAACAACACTGTCTATGAAAACGGCAGCATGAAACAAGTTTGTGATGTAGCCGGCTTCGATTTCCTAGTTGTAGCAATACCATCACTTCATCTGCGGAAGAAGCTCTATATTGTGTAAGACCAGCCAATGCCATCCACCTAATCCAACGGCTTTCTTTACAACACCTTGAAGACCGACGAGCACCGATTTGGTACGGTTGTTTCTGGTGACCAACACAGCTTTGCAAATGAGAGAATCCACCACCATTCATATATTTGCATTAGAACCTTGGCTCAAGATTGTCACAGAAAACTGAGCCTTGTTTACTGCGTGTCTCTGTTCTGCAGATTAGTATTACATGTCCGCTGGCAGGTGCAACACCAGCAGCAACAACGCTACCGCCACCTGAAGGCACTGATGCCAACTTTTCCTTACCAGAGGCAATTACCTCAGCTATATCTTCGCCCTTAATTTCAGACAAAAAAACAATTCAATGTTGCCATCTTCTGCTTTTGCTCCAACAGATCCAAGGATGTACTTGATGGTTTTGGCGGAGGATAGTGTGGTACGAATGGTGTAGCACGGTTGTTGTTTGTTTGGAAACGTAGATTGATGAACAAGGTTGAAGGGACAATCAGGGCGAGGTTAAAGATGGTGATGGTTAGTGGTTAAGGAGCGGTCGATTTTGGTGGAAGTTGGAGCTTGTAGATCAGAAGTTGTATGTACGGTTTGAGTGGTTTATGATCTAAGAAGGGTGGTTCGATTGTGTGCACAGCGTACTGAGGCTTTTACAACTGAGAACTGGTTTTGGACCATCACCAAATAGACCATTTCCAAACAAAATCAATTCCTGGTATTAGTCATGAATTCATGAGCTGTCCAAACTTATGTGGAATCATTCCAGAAAATCCGTCAAAAGCTACAAGATGGTTGTGTCCAATTCTAACGCTTGAAAGGGGACGATAGTTCTTGATTTCTTTCTGAAGATGTTGGAACTTTAATTAATTAGAGTGGAAATTGGAAATATTTGTTGACAATTAATGAGCAATAAATGAATACAAGTGAGAACTAGAAGTGAATTTGAAAAGATTCATTTTAGTCCCACATTGAAGGGAATGGAAATATTAGTAGTGTTTATATATTCCAACTTTGTCAAATTCAAAAATGAATTTTACTCAGTTAAATGGCTTAAACAGATAAAAGCGATCGAAAAGCAGTCCACTGACTTTACGCACAGTTGACTTTTAATTTGACCGATTCAGCTTTAATTCCAACAAATTTATTCCAGCGGATAAATTGGGCATATGCGAGATGAAATGTGTGATATGCTATGCAGGGGATGCAAAGCGAAAACAGAATTTTATGGTAAAAAATTAGGGTATGACATCAAGTACATCAAAAGAACTCATAATGTCCATGCTCTCAACATGGTTTTTGAACACAATGGACCTAAGTCCCATACTTAGGGAATCAACTAGCATGAAATCAGTACCAATGTACTCAACAACAATGTCATTTTTCTTTACAAGATCTCTGACTGTTAAATACTTCAATTCCAAATGCTTAGAACCGTTAGAAGTTTTATTATTCTTAGAGTAGAACACGACTGGATTGTTGTCATAGTAAAGCTTTAGCGGCTTAGCAATAGAATCAACAATACGAAGTTCAGTCACTAAATTTCTCAATCAAATAGCATGAGTGGCAGCAACATAACAAGCTATAAACTCTGCTTGCATGGTAAAAGAGGCAACAAGAGTTTGCTTTTTACTCTTCCAAGATATTGCACCTCCACCCAACATAAAAATGTAACCAAAAGCAGATTTCACATCATCAATACACCCAATAATATCAGAGTTAGTATACCCAACTATTTACAAGTTGTCAACTCTCCTAAAAACAAACATATACTCTTTGGTTCTCTGCAAATATCTCATCACTTTCTTAACATCAATCCAATGATCATTCCCAAGATTAGACTAGTATCGTCCGAAGACCTAACTATGAAAGTAATGTCAGGCCTAGTACATACTTGAGCATACATCAGGCTACCCAATGCACTGTCAAAGGGTTATCTGTTCACCTCTGCCGGCTCAATCTAATTTTTAGAACATTGATCTTTACTGAATTTGTCACCTTTAGTAACAGGAACATCCCCTGGCTTACAGTTCTGTATATTTAACCTCTTTAGGACTCTATCAATATAAGCCCTCTGTGACAAGCCAAGTATCCCACGTGATCTATCTCAGTGCATTTTAATTTCCAACATAAAGGATGATTCACCAAGATCTTTCATATTAAAGAACATGGTTAGCATAAGTTTGATCTCATAAAGTAGACCAAGATCATTATTAGAAAGCAAAATATCATCAACATATAACACAAGAAAGATGAATTTGCTCCCACTGACCTTAAGATTGATGCACTGGTCGATTTTATTTTCTTAAAAACCCAATGAAGTCACCACGTCATCAAATTTCAAGTACCATTGTCTGGAATCCTGTTTCAAACCATAAATATATTTTCCTAATTTATAAACCAAATTCTTATTACCACTTGACACAAAACCCTCATGTTGTTGCATGTACACCTCCTCATTAAGATCACCATTATGAAAAGTAGTCTTAACATCCATCTGGTGAAACTCTAAGTCAAAGTGTGCTACACAAGCCATAACGATTCTAAAAGAGTCTTTAGTGGAAACAGGAGAAAATGTTTCATTAAAATCAATCCCCTCCTTTTGTATGAAACCTTTAGCCATAAGTCTTGCCTTAAACCTCTCAATTTTACCTTTTGAGTCCTTCTTTGTTTTGAATATCCACTTGCCCTCAATCGCCTTATAGTTTCTTTGTAACTCTATTAATTCTCAAACATCATTATTTACCATGGATTTCATTTCATCATGCATTGCATATGTTCACATGCTAGATTGAGAATAAGTAATAGCTTCTAGATAATTTTTAGGATCAATAACAATACCAACATCATAAGCATCCTCACTAAGATAAACTATAAAATCATCAGGGATGACAGATTATTTTTGCCTTACTAACCTTCTAACATGAATTTGCTCAACTGGCTCATTAGGTTGTGCAACCTCAGCTATAACAGGAGGATCAACTGCATTTTCAATAAGTGGTTCAACCACATTCTCATTTGGAGTAAAACCTCCATGACAGGCTCAACAACATCAAGCTCAAGGAATTTTACATGCATGGACTCCACAATTTTATTACCTCTACTAGGATAGAAGAATTTGTATCCTTTAGCTCGATCTGGATATCCAATAAAAAACCAACAAATTGTTTTTGGGTAAAGCTTTATCTCAAAAGGATTATATACTTTAACCTCTGCGAGGAAACCCCAGACACGGAGATAGTTCAAACTAGGTTTTCTACCCGTCCAAATCTCAAAAGGTGTTTTTGAAATTGATTTACTAGGGACTCTGTTAAGTAGATAGAGGGTTTATTTTCAAAGCGTCACCCCATAAATTTTTTCGTAAATTGCACCTACTCATCATGTTTCTCATCATATCCTTAAGAGTACTGCGGTTTCACCTTTGGGCTACAACATTTTGTTCAGGAGTACCAGGCAAGGTGTGTTGTGGAACAATTTCACAATCTTGCAAGTATTTTGCAAAAGGTCCCATGTGTTTCCCAGTAGAATCATATCTACCATAATACTCTCCACCACAATCAAAATATACCACATTTATCACTTTTCCTACTTTCTTTTCAACCTCAATTTTAAAGATTTTGAACTTTTCAAGTGCTTCTAATTTTTCTTAATCAAGTAGAGATAGCCCTAACAGAAAAATTATCAATGAAAGTGATAAAAGATTTATTACCACAAATAGTGGGAGATAGGGGGCTTCTAATGTATGTGTGAATAATTTCCAAATGGTTTGAACTTCTAGTTGAACCTTTCTTATTGGTTTTAAAATTTTTTTCTCTAATAGAGTCCACACAAGTACCCAAGTCATTGAAATATAAGGAAGGTAAAATATCATCTCTAGTTAACCTTTCAACTTTTCCTTTAGAGATATAGCCTTAACGCTTGTGCCACAACAAGGAGGTTTCTTTTTTCTCTAATTTTAGACCTTTTAGCAATGGAGCTCTAAACAATCAAGGATGAGAAAATATTATCACAATCCAAGGACAACTTATATAAACCATCCAACAAGATACCATTACCAACAACTTGAGAATTCAACATCAAATTTATTTTTCCATCATAAAAGGTAAATTGAAATCCAAGTCTATCCAAACAAGATAATGAAATTCAATCCCTCCTAAAAAAAGTTACATAAAACATCTTTCGAAACAAGTTCAAAACAAATTCCTAGAATTTCTTAAAATTAGACTCATTCAGAATCTCAATAGAAGCATAATAATTATTCATAGAGAAGGTCATTATTGAGACAAAACAAGAATGCATTAGAACAAATGATAAATGTAAGATATAGCCTTAATGAACATAAGCTATCACGAAGAGGCCAACATTATCATGCAATCTCCTTTGGGTGAAATGCGCAAACCCAAGTCACAATCAAGGTCAGTACCTCAGATGAGTTACTCAAAGAACATAAATTAGGTTCAAAAATCTATCTTCTTTGGGTAGATAAATTTT